GTGCAGCACCAAAATTACTTCAATGGTACATACCAATATCTGCAGTCATTATAGTTTTCATTGGCTTTAAATCCAAGAATGGCAAAAATAGGAATTGCCGCATATATCGATGTAAAGCTGTTTACACAGCCAACAATCAGGGCATCCCTCTCGCAATTATTCCTACAAAGATAAAATACTATCTCAGTTTTTTTTCATTTGTTCAATATCCTGTGAATGAACATTAGTTTAGAATTGTCTTACTTCTGGGGGTTATAACTGGAAAAAGCAATAAGTCCCCCAAAGGCCAAAGACAAAGAGAAAAATATCTGAGTGGCAGCATCCAACCACACCCTTGGATTCTTGAGGGTTTCCCACTGCGAGAAAAGTCATATGTGTACAGATTTCAGATCTTGCATTTTGTGAAAATATTTCAGTAAGATGCCAACAGCAAACTCACATTTGGAGTGAAGAGATATATTAAGCCATCACTTGCTCCAGACAGAGTCATGGCTCTTATCAGGAAGATGGTCAGAACAAGATATGGAAACGTGGCTGTGACATAAATAGCCTGTTGACAAAGTGTAGACATTGATTTACTATTTAATATCCAACCTTAAAATATGACTTTCATGTGCAGATCTTTATCTGAATTCTGGCAATGAACCTGCTGGTTATCTTTAGACAGATACAGATAAACATGTTTTACCTTCCCAATAGTCTCGATTCCACGTATGAAGCAGATGTACACGAGGCACCAAGCAGATGCAAGACACAACACGAGCCCCCACTGTAAAGACCCACTGGTTTCGATATCTGGTGTTATGTTGAGTGTTTCACGATACCAAAAGTAGTTCACTGGTGAGCTCTTTTCACATTCAGTCACATACCCTGCATCAAAGACATTATATTATTAAATCAAGATGAATTAATTCTTTGGACTTTTTACCTCAGCTATAAAAATTTTTATTATTATGATGCAACCATTACCAGTATGATTCAAGTTTACTGGACAGCTCTTCCAGGGAAGAGGACTTTGAAAAGAGTGGAAGAAGTACCAGAGGATCCAAGCCAAGATCATGTTGTAGAACAGACCAACTAGGAAGGAAACTACCAAGGAAGCCACACCTGTGTATAAAACATAGATATCATCCATCATAAATTAATTTGCAGTAGAGATGGCATTGATCCCAATTCATTAAAAATTTAAGTTATATTACGTTCTGTTCTTTATTCCCCCATTTGGGCATCTTGAGTGAATCCAAAATCGGGCCAAGTTCATTGTTACCAAACATTCTCACCTAAACCTCCCAGATATGGGGAGATTGAGTTCCACACTCCAACACTTCCCATGCGGAGCCGTTGTCCGATGGCCAGCTCCATGTGCAACAGAGGAAGGCCCTCAAACACGAAGGCGATGACGTAAGGAATAAGAAATGCCCCTCGAAATAAAAATGGACATATAATTCTTTAGTAAGGTATTGACTTTACCTTCAAAAAATTAAAAGACATTGCCATTGGCTTTAAGGTCATACTGTTTCTGATTACTGAGCATTTTATTATCAACAGTCTGAGCTTTATCTGCCCTGGGGGGGGGCAGATAAAGCTCAGTTGCTAGTCAATCACAAGAGAAGATTAGTTGAGCAACAACACTTGCATGAGCTACATTCACTTAATCACTCTCATCGGTGATATCATAAAATCCCTTTGGTTTGACGTGTTTTTGGATTCAATAATCATACAGGCTGGGTTAAGACATGTCAAGAATCATATCCAAACTATTAAAATCATACAGGATGAGTAAGTAATGTAGTGAATTGCAAACATAATTTCTGCGCATGGCAAATAAGACACTGCACGAAAATAGGGAAGTCATAACTGTTAAGTCATTTCTGCATCATATCTTCAGCCTTGTCTCATGCCCACTATTGAAATTTAGAGTAAGACTATTAACTGAGTCAGACAATGATAGTTAAATAAAGGCTAAGGAGGAAACTAAATGTAAAAACAAGGTTCACATTGCAGTAGAACGTATTCTGGAGAATATGAATAAATCATTTTCCAAAAGAAAAGTTTTTTTCATACTTATAATTGTTGTTATTGTCATAAAAATAATCAAATATAACTTATTTATAGGAGGGTTTTTTTCCAAGTTTGCTAATTTTGTGGAGAGAGCCTTTTGATAATCAAAATGTTTCTTGACATGGGAATCAGCCCAAGTGAAAAACCATGTTTTGGCCAGACGGTCAAACCTTACTTTTTTTTTCAACATTACAAAGTGCATTAGAAAATGTAAATCAAATGTTCTTACCTCCACCATACGTTTGACACAAATATGGAAATCTCCACACATTGCCAAGTCCCACAGCAAAACCTATGCAGCTCAGCAAATATTGAACTTTATTGTCCCATTTTGGCCTTTCGGTGATCTCTTTCTCTTCTGCACGTCCATCTTCTCTATCCACCACTTTTTTGTTTCTTGTCATTTTGGTATATTATATGAGGCAAGCACACATCTGTTCTTGCCTGTTTGACCTTCCCCTACCTGTTCTAAACAAAACCTGGTGACTTGTTACCAGTTTGTATCATGAAACGAGGGGCTGATATTTGCTTTATCAGCCTTATATTTCTTGCTGACTCTTGAAACTGTGGGAACAATTTGACTTGTTAGTTTAATAAAAAGCCTTTGTGTAAAGCCAGATATCAGATGCTGATAACAGAGGCTGTTGATTGTAACTCAAAGGAGTTAAATCAGGAACCCAGTGTGATAGTACACGTCTTTTAATCACTGTGTGAGTGTGTGTGCGTGCGTTGTGTGTTGGGAATTGTTAAGCTAAGGTCTGCCTGCTGCTGACAATTGTGCGCTTGTTGCATGAACGCCTACAATGTGAGCATTCTCTTGAGTTTATGCTTTGTTCTGTCTGCTGCAGAGGACGATTATTTTTTTTGGGGATGTTTTAAGGGGACGCAGACGGGGGCCATATTTCTCTTGTTGTTGCCGATTGTGAGCGTCCTTGTGTGAGAGCAAGAAAGAAAAGGGGGGAAATAGAATGAGTGAGCACTAAACGCAACTTTACACTTAAGCAATGATTAAAAACAACTATTCAGACATCCGTCATGTTGTGTAAACAAATTTATCTTCATTATGATATTTCGGCAGGACGAATAC